GGAGAGCACTTTGGCTGTATTTTTTGTTCACTTTCTCTACACTTTAGTTACGCTTTGATTGTTCTTTTGTTACGATTTTTTACTGTGCTTTGTGTGCGCTTTACTTGCGCTTTACATGCACTTTAGTTGCATTTTAAGTGCTATTTTGTTACGCTTTTTACTGCGCTTCTACTATGCTTTATTTACGCTTTACCTACATTTCGCTTGTGCTTTCACTGTGCTTGACGTAAAATTTTGCGGACACATTAAATATATAAAATAAAAAATAAAACCAACTTGTCTACTCCACGTGTCAAATTTTAAATTGATTTCCAGATAATAATTTTCCCTCTCCCTGCTTTTCCACATGACCGTTTGTTTTTCATCATAATCACTTAAAACTATCCGTTGACAGTTATGTCAAATTTGATTTTCAAATAGCAACCAGCAGCTAACAATTTTAACTGCTTTTAGAAAATATTACCATTTGGAAAAAATTTTCGTAATTGCGATTTAATAATGTAGCTATTTCTCTGCAGATCGAGAAAATGAAGACAAGGGATCCACTGCAAAAGGAAATGGCGGAGGAAAGGAAGGAGGAGAAGATTCGTCAAGCTGAGCTGATGAAGCAGCAGGCCTACAAGGAGAATGCCATACTAAAAGGAGAAGCACAGCACTTAGGAGTCGGCCACCAAACCGGAACCGGCTTGGATGGGCATCACAATGGTGTCGTACCTCAAACTGGCTTGGGTGACCATCACACAGGAGTTCGACACCATATCGGTTTAGTTGAGCCGACTAGTGGGGCCGGGGGATTGCACAGGACTGATGGGCCACTTGCCGGCACTGAAACAAACCGGACTGCGGACGAGACTGGCGGTGGCTTGTACTGAGGCAGATGCTTTATTCTCTGGCCTCAAGAATTATACTATGGTTTATGTAGTTTGGTCAATAAGAAGGGTGAAGAAGCTTGGTGTTTTAGCTTGTAAGCTTTCATGGCCCAATCTGTACTTGTTTGGTGTGATTGTGTGCATTTTATTTCTTATTTGTACTGTAATCCGAGGTGATTATTTCCTTTGTGTAATAAAGCACATATTCTAACTAATCATATTTTGTGGGGAAAAATATATAATTAGGATTGTTATATACTTTTTAACTTTTAGATTTTATGAATGTAGATGTTCGCTTTCAGGATTTTTAAGCATAAAAGGGGTTTAAAAATATGAATAAAAAGAATTTGGACAATATTGCGTTTTGGAAGAAAACATTTGGAGTAATCGCATATGATTTCCTAAGAGTTGGAGGTTTGGAAAGTGATGGTGGTGTTGCGAACATCATGAGTTCGTTGGGAATAGGCCTAATTAGTAGTCATGGGTGAGGCATTTATTATTTGTTTAATATTATCTCTTTTTTTCAATAAGAAAAAGATTACAATGAAGGCCCAAAAGAGTCCAAAAGAGCAGAAACAAAATACAACACTAGAGAAATTGAACTCCAAAAGAAATGAGCAAAAATCGGACAATAAGAAGGCCTCAGAGTAATAAGGTGAAGAAACCTATCGAACTCTGGAGGTGGAAAGAAGTATCCTGCAACCACCCAGCTGGTCGACCAAGACCATCCATTGGAGGCAATAAGCCACAAGGCAATCAGAGGAAAACTACGAAGCACACAAGCTGAACCACCAAAGTTGCCAGCAAAATAAGGCTAACCAGGCAACATGAAGAATATCGCCGCATCATTGTCTAGATAAAAAAAAGGGCTCAAAACCAAGAAAAATAGCAGCTATAAGAGGCAACATCCACAACACAGCCAGTAACCACACAGATACCCATGACCAAGAGAGCACATCAACTAACAATAATAATGGTAACAACCAATGAAAGAAAAACCATATAAACCAAACCTACGTTTTAGATTTATGCCTGCGACGCTTTCCACCACCAATGGAAAAATCCTTATTAACAATACAGCCCACATTTAAATTATACAACACTTGAAACTTATCATCATGCCCACAAAGCCTTCCCCAACTCACCCGCAAGGTGAATGAAAGGTATCGTCAAGCCAATCCAATTGAACCTCACAAGAATCTTTTACTTTCAACTCCAAATGAGCTTTGAACTCATCATTTGAAATAAGATTAACTGAGACATCGATAAAGGGCACACTAATAGATGTAACAGACATTTTCAATGAAGTAATTAGAGAACCATCACAGGCTACAACCAAGGCACTAGAAGACTTATTTAAAACCACCTTGTTAACACCACAAATCCCCATGTTTTTTTAATTCAAATTCCCAAGGTTAAAATTAGAAAAACCTTCCTTCGACAGTACTTCCACGCTAACAACAATTGTATCAACATGGTTTATATCAGAAGCAGGTGTTACTGGTATAATTTTAACCTCAACATCAGCATCCTCACAAGCTTCTTGAATAGAAAAAAGCCAACTTAAAGGAGAAATTACTTGCAAAATAGAATTATTGATAGCAAGGACATTAAAATCTAAGCAAACCATATTATAATTACAAATACCACCATCCAGCAAAGAAGCGTCAACAGAGGGTGAAGCAACAGGAACATCGAAAGCCACCAAATCAACTTGAAAATGAGGTCCCACGAGATCGTTAGAGACACCTGCTACGAAGAGACCTGCAAGCCCAACAACACCCCAAGCAAGCAAAGGGTTAAGTAAAGGATCTACCTAAGGCATAATGCCATTAACTATAGTATCAACAACATGAGAGGTCAAAATTGGATATGAAGCCACAAGATCAAGACAAACTCCTTGCGCATTCACATCATCAGAATTTTGCTTTGTAACAATATCATTTCCCACAGAATTCACAACATGCTTAACCACAATTGATTGGACCCTATCTAAATAAGGCTGAAGAATGCTATAGTTATTTTTATAATGATCCAAAGAATTAAAATGTTCACATAAAGGAGGAAATTCCTCCATAACCACTTCTTGAATATAACCAAGATTATCAGGGCCAATCCAAACAAACTTGGGGTGGGATTTGGAGATCTTTTTCAACAAGGACCCAAGCAACAAAGGCCACAATCCTACATCAGTTGCATTATCAGTTTGAAGTGGACGCCCAGGTAAAGAGCCTAAACCATGGAGAATGTGAGGTATAAACAAATGCGGATGAAGGTTTGGGAAAGAAACCCAAATCAGTATAGCCAGAGACTCCACAAAAATATCAAACCATAAAAATATCAAACAAAGGAAACCACTTAGTCGATTTCATGAAACAATTGAAGATAATGCAAGAGAGGTGGGAGAACACTTTATTATAATCCAAATCATTAATCAGCTTGATTAAAACATGCCTTGAATCCAAAATAGTCACCGAACATTCACCGATTTTCTTAAGGTTGAAGAAAAACTTATGAATCGCTTCAAGCAATGGTCTAAGATTTGGGAATTTTCGAACTAAAGCAAACTCAAATGGTTGAGCAAGAGCCAACACTTCAGCTTCTGATATCCACAACAATGAAAGCCCACGGCATGTCAAAATTTTTAGGTCAAGAAACTCAAACGATGAAGCCCCATACAAGGGTTATAGAAAGGAATAGGAAGACAACCGATCATTAAGGAAACCAAGATCAGAAAGATGCATAGTCTCTATTGATGCCAAACCGAAAGGAAAATGCACGAATAAGAAATGCACGAATAAGTGCGAAACATAGAAGAAACCCCAAAGAAAAGAAGGGGAAGGAGAAAATTCAAGGCGACAATGCTACAACATGCTAGGAAAAAACACTAGTAGAGCACCTCAAAGGATAGAAACAAAATTTGTATAATATTATACCTTAATAGAAGATAAGCTTTTTTATGGGACTAGAGTTTGAGGGTGTATCTATTTTATTTTTACATTATCTCATGGAGAAAGAGTACAAATTTTCTGATTTTTAATTTTTCATAAAGTTCAATGTTAATTTTTCTTTCTTAGAGAATGAAACCAGACCAGAGGGGGCTTGACGAATCCACATCGATGATCCGATGATCGTGGCCGAGCAAGCCTCCAAGAACTCCATCTTAAAGAAAAGAACCCACCACCTAAGAACCTATCTTAGGATACAGGAATTCAGAACAGAGTAAAACTCAAATATTATTCATCTCAATCTAATCTCTATTACAAGTAAAGGCTACCTATTTATTAATAAATGTAGCCCATAATAGGCTACACTCAAAACAAGAAAGCACTAATCCCATGTAGCCATATAAGCTACCAAATGAAATAAAACTAGTCTGAACTTAATACAATCAAACAGCTCAGCTCCAACATTAAAAGAGCTTAAATTTTGAATGATGGGAACTTCTTCTGTGAGACCTTCAACCAGTTTGGATTGTCTTGATACATATGCTCAAGAAAAGAATAAATGTCTCAATTGGGATATTTGACGAACCCTTTTTTGAGCCTTAGATTATTTATTATTCTTTAAAGGTTGCATAAGAATGAGGTGAAGCATTACCTTGTGATAATATATAAGGATGAAGTTTTGCTAATTTGGAGGGACATGTAGTAGAATTATATCAAATAAAAAATTAATTGATTAAGATGGATGAAAAATATTCTCTTGAGTTGCAGGCGGAACTAGCCTTTAGCTCAGCTCTTAGGTGGGGGGACAAACATTTAAGAAAAATAAAAACATAAGAAAGATAAAATTCAAATTAAACTGTTATATGACATTATAAATGTTAAGTAAGAAATTAAAAAGTTTACATTAAATTTTGCATTTTATTATATTATTGCAATATAATTTCATTTGGAATCAAGTCAAATATTTTTTCTCAATATATGACACTAGATCGTTGAGCCGACCATCATCCATTTTATTTTATGATCGATATTTAATAATTTTCATTGTGGAAAATGCTTTCTCTAATATAGTAGTGGCAACTAGCAAAATTAATGTTAAGACAATAAGTATGTAAACTAAGGGATACACAACATCTTTCTTATTATTAACTAATTAATTTATGTAAACTAAAATTCAAATTAAACTCTGATACTCTAGAGCCACAAGTTTAACTACAAAAAAATCTGTTGAATATAGCTCTACAAGCAAAATTAATTTTCTGTTGTTATAAGCAGAAAAAGAGTTACTTGGATGTAAACATGAAACACAAAGAAGCAATTCATTACTAGTTCAAATAATATATTATTTAACTTTTGAAGTTACATATTAATAATAGTGTAAAAGAAATCCACATGATAATGAAGAAAATTTGTTATTTTTTTTTTTTTTTGTGTCATGATCGATGGTAAGTTTTGAATGCAGAATTCATGTTAGGAACATCAATCTTACAAACATTGCAAAAAAAGTGATATTTCATCCAGTAAAGAATCACATCCACTCCCTCATTATCTATCAATCGTTACTTAAAGGCTTGTACTAATTTTATTGCATTCATAATATATTGATATTTTCTCTGTAAGACTTATGATAATTCCTTTCTAACACCTAAAATATCAATCATTAATTGCATTGTAAGGATAATATTAAAAGACTTCATAGTATTTATCAGAATGCCAACTTCAATATATTAATGATTGCGTAACTCATATTTTTTAATAATTTCAAGAACTTCAGTGACATAAGTATACATTTTCATCAAATTAATTAAGTTATACAACTATGAACCCCAACGAGTGTCACTAGCTCATCATAAATTTATATCTTGGATTAAACACCTATCACTACTCAACTTCACTTTGGATGGATGAAATATTATTTAATAATGTTGAATGGATCTAAGAGTGTTAGCCCTCTTACATGAAGCTCCTACAGTGTTAATGATTTTTAAATTAATCTAAAAAACATGCTTCACATAAATTTTTGTTACAACCATTAGGCACAGTTAAAGATGATGAGCAAAATAATGAACATAGAATGCATGATGATTATCATTAAGTATTAGTGTCTTTAAATCATGAAATGCCCCTCGCATATTAGATTCTCTATCATATCTTGACTAAGTATCCTATTATGCTCAATAAATGTTTTACAAGTATATTTTCAATGGCTACCTAAAGCATAATTGCATGCAATATATTTAATGTCTATAAATCATTCAATAACTTGACACAAATTATCTACATATCT